TATCTCATCGTTGCCTTCTCTGCTCACGATCAACACGTTACGATCCCCCCCCCCCAACTCCCCCCCCCCCTGTGGGGTGTATTGTTGAAGCCAAGATACGCGCGGAGCTGAGGGCACAGCAAGCAGCGCATGCAGCCATGTTGAAGGAGCGCGGGAACGAGCTCGAGTCCGAGAACATGCAGCTCATGTCCATGGTTGGCATCTTGCAGAAGCAGATTGGCCAGTTTGATGACCAGCTCGAGACACAACAGAAGAAACACACAACAACCGTCAACGGTATGCGTCGTGTGTGTGTGTGTGTGTGTGTGTGTCTGTGTGTGTGTGTGTCTGTGTGTGTGTGTGTGTGTGCGTCGTGTGTGTGTGTGTGTCTGTGTGTGTGTGTGTGTCTGTCTGTCTGTCTGTCTGTCTGTCTATCTGCCCAAGTGCATGTCTGCATACTGCACTCTGTTTGCATTTGATTGCCCAGCTCGCCGCCACGATCAACGTCGCGCCTCACACTCGAGCTTGCATGCACAAATGCTCTCAGCAAATGCAAGGTTACGCCGCCAGTATCATGAACTCTTCGAGGCACACACATCGCTCGTCGACGAGGTATGCGTTTGCTTGCATGCACGCAACCGTGCTGCTACGGGTTGCCGGACACACAGACTTATAACCCGCATGATACATGCAATTCACACAGCATAACAGCATGCGCGTCGAGAACGAGGAACTCAAGAGCACCGTCTCTCGTCTTCGATCGGTAGTGTGTGAGTGTGTGTGTGTGTGTGTGTGTGTGTGTGTGTGTGTGTGTCTGTGTGTCCGTCTATTTGTGTGTGTCTGCCTGCCTGCCTGTCTGTCTGTCTGCCTGCCTGCCTGTGCGTGTGTATGTCTCTCTGTGTCTCTGTGTCTCTGTGTGTCTGTCTATTTGTGTGTTAGCCTGCTCGCTTTACGTGTCTGGTCGCTTGAAAGCACGTCGATGCAAACACATGCAACTCATCGTCCCTGACTGTGTTGGCGTGCAGCTTGTGGACGATCTCCACGACGCGTCAGGTCGTGCCTCACCCTCACCGCCAAGGCGCTCGTCACCTTCTCGTCTGGAGTACGTGTGCACACCCTTGCCTGCAGGCACACATGCATATACAGGCACTTACTCACACGCACGTTGCTGCACATGATCGCATGCGCAACTCACACCTGCATCCTCGTCTGCTGCTTCAGGACGAAAGAGCGACAGCGAGCGCTACAGAAGAAGCTGTATGAGATGCAAACACAACAGATTGAGGAGATGCAGGCGCAGATCGACAGCCTTCAGGTTCAACCACACACACACACACACGCACGCGCACACACACACGCATGCATGCGGTAGAAGTTGTCCCATCATGCCTGCAGGCAATCGTTCTCGCTGTATCTGCACCAGCTAGCATGCACGTGCTCATTACCATGTGCCTTCACGCGTGTGCTTCAATTGCTGGTTCCTGTCTCGTCAGAAAACGGTGGCAGAGCAAACCCAAGCCAACCAGTACCTTCAGGATGAGCGGGATCGCTACAGGCAGATGCTCGATGACGCGCACGCAGAGCGAGGTGCGTGCATGTGTGCATGTGTGCGCTGAGGTTGTATGTGTCATTGTTTGACTACTTCTTTGCATGATGCGACGTGATATCTTGTCAACCCCCCCCCCCCTACCGCGCAATTCCCCTGCCGCCTCATGCCGTTGCTTGCCGCCCGGGTATTGCTGCAGAGGACCTTGTGACCGCACTCGATGAATCACGACAACTTCTCGAGTGAGTACTGCTAAACCGCCTGCAGTCCTTCCCACAACAAGGAAACACGCATCAAGACACACACACACACAAAAACAACACACTCACACACACACAAAACACACTCACGCACACACACACACAGACACCTCTTCCTCGCTCGCGCGCTTCATTCCCTCACTGTCAACATGTTTCTTTTCTTGTTTGTGCTTTGCAGTGAGGCGGAGGCCACATCAAGTGCAACAACGCAAGAAACAAACCAGGAAGCAAGTGCGTGTGTGTCGCTGAACCCCCGCGTGAATGCACTTAGCAACGCAACCCCTTGCGATTATCATGTAACCCAGCACTCACATGTGCGTGCATACATACATGCACTTTGTTCACTACGTGTACCCGTTTGCTTGTCAGGCCGCCTGAAGATACGGCTGACAGAGGCAGAAGCAGAGCTGAATCGCACCCATGAGAAGGTGTGTGTGTGATGTGCGGTGTTGCAGACTTCTGTGCAAGCTCATGTCACCAACGCCATCACAGCAACACTCAACTCACGCGCGCACTCTCTCTGTACCGCGTTCCTCCCTGCTTTCACACACACACACACTCACACACACACACACGCACACACACTCCCACGTCCTCACTCACCTCCATCCAATCCACCCATCTGGTGCACCCCACGCCACAGCTGGCCAAGTCTGTTGCGTCGGCAAATGCAGCGCATCAGCACGCGCGGCAGCTTGAGCCCTACCGCGACGACCTCACGCACCTCCTCAAGCTCTCGTCGGGGGATGCTGGTGTGTATGTGTGCGTGTCTGTGTGTATGTGTGCGTGTGCGTGTGTGTGTGTGTCTGTGTCTGTGTGTGTCTGTGTGTGTGTGTGTGTGTCCGCGTTTGTTCTGCTCATTACATTGGCTGAGTTTGTCAATGCGGAGTTGAAGGACTTGTTGTGCTCTGATGTGCGCCTCCTGTTTGCTCTACGTGTAGCATTATTGCTGTTTGGTCGCCGTGAATGAACTCACCATCACCAATTGACACAAACAACAAACAAACACGCATGCGCATGCATGATTCCAGCTGTGCTTGAGGAGATCCAGCACCTTCGCGCGAAATATCTTTCAGAGGCGCTGCACCAGCACACATCAACTGCTTCGCGTGCCGCCACGCTTCTGCATATCGACAAATCCGCACAGAGCTGGGATGCCCTGCTTGATCAGGCAGAAGAGTGAGTGCCGATATCTCTGCCATGCTGCACTCGTGTGTGTGTGTGTGTGTATGTGTGTGTGTCTGTGTGTGTGTCTGTGTGTCCGTTTCATATGCTTGGAAATCACTTGCGATCCTGTGTGGGCTCCTTTTGCTCATCGCTCCATCGACTTGCACATGCGTGCATCTGCCGCTCGTTGAATTCTCGACAGATTTGCACGCGTGTGCGAAACACTTGACGAACAGCGGCTAGAAACGATTGACGCCCTCGTGAACATGACCCACGCTGTGGTGAGGCAACGTGCTTCTAGCGTGTGATCGTGCGTACTTGGTGGCGAACTTGTTCAATGTCCAAGGCGTGGTACTCTGATCCACTCACTAACTCACTCACACTCACGCACACACTCACTCACACACCCGCCCTCACTCACACTCATTCACACCAACAAATCCACCATTCTCTGCCTGCTGCAGAGTGCACCATCCCCGCGCCACAAGACGGAATTCATTCGCGAACTCCAACGGCTTGCACGGCCCGATGTCCCCGACCCAATCCTGGACAGCCTGGACGAGGTGTGGCGATGATGATGATGATCATGATGATGGTGATGATGATGGTGATGATGATGATGATGATGATGATGATGGTGGTGGTGGTGGTGGTGGTGGTGGTGGTGGTGGTGGTGGTGGTGGTGGTGGTGATGATGATATTGCTTGACGTAGTTTTTTTTTGTTTTGTCATTCTGCTTTTCCCCACCTCCTTCACCCCGCCATCTTCTCATCACCATATCCCTCCTAACGCCACAGATTCTGCGGCTGGAGCGATCGTTGGCGGTCCACGAGCGAGAGCAAAAACATCTGGAGCACCAATACCACCATGTGTCAGAAAAATGCAAGGCACAGCGCCCACACTACATCGGTATGCTGGTGTGGATGGCATCATGTTGTTGTGCATGTATGCGATATCCTCTCTCCACACCTCCACACCGCCACAGCTTACTTATCTCGCTCACAAGACCCTTTCTTCACTCTTCCACTTCGTGCACGGGTTGCAGAGTTTGACGGCGCATTTGATTTGCTGACGTCTCGCTTGGAGGAGTTGGAAACACAGACGCGAACAATGCAGCAGCGAATGCGCTATTCCCGCCCGCAACCCAAACGACAGCAGCACCGCATGCTCGCCCATCGACCGTGATTGTGTGTTGCGTCTGTGTGTTGCGTCTGTGTGTCTGTCTGTCTGTCTGCCTGTCTGCAATCAACTTCTTTGTCTGCTTTCCCAACCGTCATGCTTGCAGTTTCGTTGCATTCATTCAATCGACACGAGAAGAGCAAGGAGCAGCAAGGGGTAATACACGATGTAACTGTGCCTGCACGTGTTCGGCACACTCGCTCGCCGCTACACTCCAACACACAAGAGCGAGGGTACCACAACAGCGCCATTCTTTTAATGTCTCGATAGTGGGGGATGTGGCGGCATGTTGGGATCATGGTGTGGAGGCAAACGATCGACACGTGCGAAGAATTGCCAGCGTGCCTGATGGCTCAAAGTGGTTTGCACTCGCAGTCGGCTCTATCGTATTCACGTGCGTGTGTGTGTATGTGTGTGCGTGCGTGTGTGTGTGTGTGTGTGTGTGTGTGTGTGTGTGTGTGTGTGTGTGTGTGTGTGTGTGTGTGTGTGTGTGTGTGTGTGTGCACGTGTGTGTGAAGACAAAGCACGTGTGTGAGAAGACGGGACGAGTGAAGAGCACCAACAGCAGGCATCCACTCCAGAACAACAAAGTCAAAGCAGAGGGTACCTGTGATGATTGGTGGGGGTTCGCTGAGCACCGCAGCGGCGATTGCGGGCTGATCATAACAAAAGAAGCAAGGAGAGCACAATGCGGACGTGAGAGGAAACATTACACGACACGACACGGCACGTGCGTTTGCTCACACACACACACACACACACACACACACACACACACACACACACACACACACACACACACACACACACACACACACACACACACACACGCACACACGCAGACAGTTGTGCAAGCCAGCCCACCTGCTTGAGGATGTGTAACAAGAGCGTTGCGCGTTCAATGACAGCGTGACGACTGCTCTTCACAATCGCTTTGCTCTCCATGTGCGAACGGGCAATCTAATATGGGTACGCGCGTACATATGAGTGCGTGTGATTGTGGTGAAGGACGAGCGAGCAACACGATAAACCCGTGTTTGTCAATCAAGCCTGCAAGCAAAATTCAATCTCACAAACACATGACGCCTTTGTGCACATACCTTTGTCAGGAAGAGGCTGACACGTGCAAGCACCTCAGGACAGCGCGTTGCAAGCTTTGCCAACGCCATCATGAGAATGTTCATCAGGCGCGTGGTGTGCACAACCTGCAATGGAGAGAGCGTGAGAAGAGATAGAAGAAGATTGAAGAGGGGAATGGGAGAGGGGTCACGGCGTGTGAGTGGAACAACAAGAGCCCATGAGACCACAACGCGAAACCTCACAGCAACGGTCAAAGAACAAGAATCACGTGAGCACAAACACGCAAACAAGCGAAAGTGTTGCCTGCAAGCACTGATTTACCCTGAATGCCGGGTTGATGTTGCCTGGGCCATGCTGCAGCATGCTGTTCACTTCCCCAACAAACGCCTCCAGCTCCTGCCAGCGCGTGAGTGTGTGAGTGTGTGAGTGAGTGTGTGTGTGTGTGTGAGTGTGTGTGAGGACGTGTGGGGGTGTCTGTGTCTGTGTCTGTGTCTGTGTTGACGAAGGAATGGACATCCAAGGACGAACAAGCACGCACGTCGTATTCCAACAACAACAACCATCCCTTACGACTAGCATCAGAGCAGGCGTACCTCGTGGTAAATGACCATAAGATCCGTTGTGCAGCGCGGGTCCGAGAGGGGCGAGGCGTGCTCCCCAATGATCCACACAAGATGCACGAAAAACTGCAAGCAGCGGCAATGGTGATGTGGTGTTGGCACGGATCGTGGGACAGGACAGCAACAGTGAGAAGGGTAGACACACATCAAAAGCAAGCAAGCAAGCAAGCAAGCGCGCAGTTGTGAAGAGTTGACTGCATCCAACATCTTGCTCTGGAATATTCACACATGCACGCACACACACACACATACACACCTCCTCGCCACCGCTTGCTGCGTTGTTGCGATTCCGAATAAATCCAAGAATGTCCTGTTGAACAACACGCGTGCATGTTGGTGAGCGAAAAAAGCATCGCCCACACACGACCAAACACATGTGCAAGCAGGCATATGCGTGTGTGTGTTTGTGTTGTGTGTGTGTGTGTTTGTGTGTGTGTGTGTGTGTGTTTGTGTGTGTGTGCGTTTGTGTTGTGTGTGTGTTTGTGTGTTTGTGTTGTGTGTGTGTGTGTTTGCGTTTACCGATTTGAGGTCGACGATGAGTCCTGGATGGCGGTGGAAAACCTTCAGCACGTACTCCGCCATCAGCGCACGCATCTGTTGGTGCACACGTACACACGTACACACACACACACACACACACACACACACACACACACACACACACACACACACACACACGTGCAAACACACGTGCCAACACACGTGCACAACGAAGAATGCGTGAATGCACAATGTACATGCAGTGCGAGTCATGTGCATGGCAGCTGATGCATGAAACAGCAAGTTGTGATGTGTACATGCCAACAGTCAAACCTACCTCCTGCTGGAACGATGAGATGGGATAGAGCGCAACCACGCGTTCAATCAACACCTGCAGTCAAAGCACATGAGCAGCGTTGTGATGTGTGAACAAACGCACATTGCTGATGCAGGCAGGCAGCAAATGCTCTCGCACGCGCACAATCAAACAAAAGCACGAACGAACAAACAAACAAACAAAACAAGCAAAACAAGCGAACACAACAAGAAAAACAAGCAAACAGCCATCAGCCCCTGCAATGTTCAGCTCACCGGCACGAGCGCCTTCACATCGGACTCGCTCGCGTGCTTGAGAACCGTGTCCAATATGATCCTTGCAAACAGCGGCGCAACCTGCCAACATACGCATACACATATACACACGTGCACACACGTGAACACACACGCACATGTGTACACACACGCATACGCACGCGTGCATACATGGACATGTACCAGAGGGTGTGGTTGAGAAAGAGGCGAAAGAGCAATCGCACAGGAGCCACCAAACAGAACCCACGCCACATACGCGCAACAGGGAAGACATGATGTGTATACACCTCTGCACAGCCCTGCACAATGGGATGGTTGCGCTGTGGTGCCGTGAGCGCGTGCAGCGCGTCCAGTTTGTCAATTGTCTCACACAACCCGCCCTGGCAAGGTGGGAGCGGCGAAAGGGGGGGGGGGGCAGCACGGCAAGACGTCAGCAAAACACACATGTACACACACACACACACATATATTGTGAATCGATCAAAGACGGCACACGAGCAAGCAAGCACACAGACAAACAAAACAAACCAACAAGCAAACAAAACAAACCAACAAGCAAACAAAACAAACCAACAAGCAGACACACACACACACACACACACACACACACACACACACACACACACACACACACACACACACACACACACACACACACACACACACACACACACACACACACACACACACACACACACACAAGCAAGCAAGCAAGAAGCAAACAGAAGCGATGATCACCTTCGTGCGAAGGATGAAAGTGTACAGTGCAGATGCGTTGGCGTCGTGATTTGATGCATCATTAACGAGCGCTTCCTGTCCGCCAGCAGCTACAAGCACAAACACCGCCGTGACGATGGAGAGAGAGAGTGTGTGTGTGTGTGTCTGTCTGTCTGTCTGCGTGTGTTTGTCTGTCTGTGTGTGTGTGTGTGTGTCTGTGGTCTGTCTGTGTGTCTGTGTGTCTGTGTGTATGTGTGTGTGTCTGTGGTCTGCCTGTGTGTCTGTTTGTGTTTCCGTCTGTCTTCACGTGTGTGCGTGCTTGCAAGCAGTCAAGCATCATCGCGCACCTCTGAGCTGGACGAGTGCAGCGGAGAGGCAGGGAAGATCAAAGACGAGATGCAGCAACTCAACAAACGTGTACTGGTTGCTCATCAGCGGAATGAGAACAACAAACTGCTCCACAAACGCCTTGGGATGCCTGCAGGCAGAGACATACACATGCACGCATACATGCACAAACGCGCACAAATGAGTGCAAGTATTCAGGCGAGCACGGTGAGCAACCAGCGATCAGGTCGCGGTGGGCGAAGCAGTTGGTCAACACGGCAACAACACCGCCGTGACAAGAGCAACATGACCGCACCATGCGAGGATGCGCAGAATCGTGGGGAAGTGGACGGGAAAGAGGCGTGTGTTGAGGAGAGCAGTCCGGTGCTCCATTAACATGCTGCACGCATGTGACAGTTCACAATGCACGGGGGATGGTGTGAAACGGAAACCTTATCGAAGCAGTCGTGGCACGCACGCGAGCAGTGAACGCTCACGCCCTTTACCTTTCAAGCCCATCCTTACACGACCTCGCACACACGCTCGCACACAAACACACATGCCAGCAAACATACAAATGCGTACGAACACACACACACACACACACGCACAAATGCAGATGTCTGCGGTTGCGCAACTGCACCTGATGGTGTCCAGGCAGAGTCGTGGATCAGCAAACCTGACGCCGAGCACGGACTCAAAGAACGAATCAAACAACGCCTGTATGTAACAACAAAGACTCATGAGCACGTGCGTGCACGTGTGTGTGTGTGCATGTGTGTGCATGTGTGCATGTGCGTGCATGTGCATGAAGCGTGCTCGCATGCGCAAGTGCATATTCTATACATGTGTATGTACACGTGCATGCTCTCACGTGGAGGTCAAAAGCGATGTGTTCGCCATATGCGACGAAGAAGGAGACGAGGGACAGCAAAAGATGCGGCTCGTACAGCGCCTGACGAGACACGCATGTGACGCAATTGTGGGTGGTGGCGGCGGTGACATGGAAATGGAAGTGAATGAACTGTCCAGTGGTGTGAATGCACACACGCCACACAAAGACGCAAAGACACACGCACACACACACACACGCATACACACGCACACACACGCACGCACACACACACGCGCGCGCACACACACACACACACTCAACACACACACACACACGACCACAATAACACACCTTCTGTGGGATGGATGCGAAGCGGGCGAGCAGTCGATCGATGTACGACTTGGCAGCAGGGACGACCTCTGGATGGACGCCCGCCAGAGTTGCCAGCGTGTCAATCGCCTGTTTCGCAACGGCCTGGCGAAGGGCAATGTCCCCCGATTGCACATACGCAGCAAACTGGCAGGGGTGTCGTGGTGCAGGTGTTTGTGTGGGCGGCCGGGGGGGGGGGGGTTGTATCTTGAGGTGTTGTGATCAAGAAGAAGAGAGAAGGGAGAGAGCGGAAGGGAACAGCAGACACGACGATGCACACCGTTCATAAAACATTCACGCGGACACGCATTCACAACAGCATTCATGCATGCATGGTTTCCCAACTACGCTGTACCTTCTCTTGTGGAACATCAATACAGCACTGGTCAATGATGCGAATGCAGTACGCGAACAACTCATCCTGTCGCCAGCCGATGCGCATATGTGCACGCGTGAGGGACACGCCAAGGTGGTAGAACTAAAAGGGCACTGTTGTTCAACATTACGCATGCATAAACGCATTGGCCATGACGCAATGCGCGCAAACGCATTGCCATTCACACATCCATGGCATGCAAGCACCAACGCACACATTGACACAACACAAGCACACTAACACAACACACACGAACACACCCGCATGCACACACGCACAAAACACACAACACACATGCATGCACCTTCATGTCTTCAGAGAGGAGAAAGTCTGGTGCGTCAGTAGCGAAGGAGCCGCGAACAATTGGCGTTTGGAGGCGAAGACCCATTCCGCGAACAACACCACGCACGTGCGCATGCGAGGAAAACACAGACGCATTCACTGCAGCATCACCGCCACCGCCGCCGCCACCGCTGCCGCTACCATCATCATCTTCATCATCGTCGTTGTCGTCGTGTGCGTGTGTTGACGAGATTGAGCCAGCAGATGGGCTTTGAATCACAGACACATCCACCATCCCATCATCACCATCGCCACTATTCACGGCATCACCACCACCATCACCACCACCATCACCATCATCGCCTTCTCCAGCCTCTTCTGCGATTGCGGGCGCGTGTGCGAGTGTGTCATTGGCGCCGGAATGAATGTCCAGTTCCTCTATCGGAAAACTTCGCCGAATCGATTCCCGCGTGTCCACAATTGCATCAAAGTTCTGACGCAACACATCCTCTGTCAGCACAGGCTCCTATTCCATGCAGGCAAAGTGGGTGGTTGTGATTATGCGTGAGAGTGAGAGTGAGAGAGAGTGTGTGAGAGTGTGTGTGTGAGAGTGTGTGTGTGTGAGTGTGTGTGTGATTGTATGAGTGTGTGAGAGTGTGAGTGTGTGTATAGGAGGGAGTGTGTGTGAGAGTGTGGTGATGACCCACTGTGCGTGTGTTTGCGTGCACTGTGTGTCAGTTTTTGTGTTTGCGTTGAGATGGTCGCAACACAGGGCGTGGCAACTGCGACAGGAGCGGCTCACTGAATCCGTGGAGAGACTTCGCTGGACGTCTTGGATTGCCGCCTCTGCACATACGCGCACGCAGACACATGCACGCACGCATGTGAACACATAGGACATCAAGGTAAGTAGGGTAAATCTGCATGCTGAAACTGCATAATGCAAACATGCATGTACACGCTGTGACACATACACATGCACATACACATACACATGCACATACACATGCACATGCACACACACATGCACATGCACATACACACATGCACATACACACATGCTTACGACCTGTGACGTAGATGTGCCTGAGCCACGTGTTGGCGACGGAGAAGCAAGCGATGCTCATGAGGTGGTCCCCGCCATAGGATTTGCCTGCAGGCAACGCAAACAAAACAAGGCGCAGAGATATTGCCAGTTAGCAGGGAAATATCGCCCTCGAGGGTGCTGTGCTCAGTGCGCGCACACTCTTCACGTGACATTGAAGCCTTCGGTCTCACCACCACCACCACGACAGGAGACAGGTGACACGTGCTTGCTGCTACGAACCGAAGCACAGCGGCGTAAACGCGCCAATCACTTCCGTCCCGTCCATCTCCACAAACGGCTCCTGCAGTTCACACACGTCACAAGAGCGTCCGGGTGTTGGTATGGGGGTTGAGTGTGGGCCAAAAAGAGGACAGCTTGTGCAGCTGTGCCCATGCAAGTCTGTGTGTGTGTCTGTGTGTGTGTCTGTGTGTGTGTGTGTGTGTGTGTGTGTGTGTGTGTGTGTGTGTGTGTCTGTGTGTGTGTGTGTGCATCTTCGCACCTGCTGGCCACTAAACACTCCGCGCTGCTTCTCTGGTGGCTGATTGCTCGTGTGCATCATGCTCTGGGACAGCAATTCCGTCACTTGCTCCACGTGTGCTGATGGTTGTGGTGATGACGACCGTGGGAGTAATGACGATGATGGTGGTGTGAATGATAAATGAGACAGGAATCAACGCACGCACAGATGGGCACGCACACACGCGCATTCTCTCTCTCCATTCATGCGCAGTCTCTCACACTCACACACACACACATACACACACACACGCCCACACACGCACACACACGCACGCACGCACGCACACGCACACGCACACGCACACACACACACACACACGCAACTCCTACTCCTATTCCCTCTCACATTGCTCGAGTGAACGGATGTGATAGACGCTGGTGGAGGTGAGGAAGCAGATGGTGGCACGACTCACAGCGTCGTTGTCGTAGATGTACCTGCAAACACGCGCGCGTGTGTGTATGTGTATGTGTGTACGTGTGTGTTTGTGTGTGTGTGTGTGTGTGTGTGCAGCACTTCAGTGAGCTGATTAGCTCCAAGCAGTGCGTCATGTCGACACGAGTGAACTCAACAGCACGCAAGCACACCCACGCACACACATGCACACACATGCACACACATGCACACATAACACACACATGCCACACACATGCCACACACGCACACACGATTGCAGCTCACGTGATGATGCTTGGGATGTGCTGGAGGAAGATCTCTGGTCGGTGGTGCTGTGCCTGGATGACGTGGAGCAGGAGATGCACCGCTGTCCGCTCAAGCGCAGACGACATGCGATGGATGGTGATGCTGGGGAAGGGGGAGGGGCAGTACGCATGTGAGGCAGAATTCAAGCAATGGACGCCGAAGTCGCACACAAACAAGCATAGCTGTAAACACACAGAGAGAGAGAGAGAGAAAGAAGAGAGAGAGAGAGAGAAAGAAGAGAGAGAGAGAGAGAGAGAGAGAGAGAGAGAGAGAGAGAGAGAGAGAGAGAGAGACAGAGAGAGACAGACAGAGAGAGAGAGAGACAGAGACAGACAGAGACAGACAGAGACAGAGAGACACACACACACACAACCACCACTTACTTGCTTGGGGAGGAATGGGTCAAGATGTTTGCACAGAGAAGCTGCAGCAAAGGCGGCACTGTGAAACCAAGACAACACGACGTGAGTGTTAGCCACAGTGTCAGAAGCGACAACTAACGGCAGCGACAACACAGCCTGAAGTGGTATCAAACCTTTGTGTGATGTGAGGGCTGTAAACAGCGCTGCAGTGGCCTCCGTTGGCAACCTGCACACAATATGTGTGTGGGTGTGTATGTGTGCGTGTGGTGTGTGTGTGTGGTGTGTGTGTGTGTGTGTGTGTGTGCGTTAAGGAGCGACGCTGCTCGTGCATCAGATCCCAAAGCCAAGCAAGTGACCCCAAACCTTGCATCAGCTCAACAACCAGAGACAAAGAGCGAAGAAGGACTCACTCATAGTGTGGGCCGTAGGCCAGCAGACCCGACAGCAGCTGTGTTGCGCTGTTCAGCGCGTTTGCACATGACTTGGACGTGTCTTTGGCAATCACTTGCGCGTACTGCACGATGCGACGGCTCAGCTGATCCGCTGGCAGAGACCTGCACCGCTCAAACAAGACGACAAGGAAGGTTGAGGGGTTCAGCAAGCACAGGAGAGGGGCACATGCACCACCGACCACAACTTGTGCCTATGGATGCAATTCACAGGGGCCACCTCACAGCATGCACACACACACGCACACACACACACGCACACACACACACACACACACACACACACACACACACACACACACACACACACACACACACACACACACACACACACACACACACACACACACCTCCACTTTGCATCCTCCATTTCAGCCGCCACATAAACAAACTGTTCCCAACAGCACAAATTCAACACCCGACTCCTTGCCTACAACCCACACCATACAACAACAACAACAACAGCACCCCAACCTCACGGCAGACACAAGTGTACACAAACAACAGGATGGCACGAAGGCGGAAGTTGTCGGCCTTGAGGCTGCCAAGCAGCGTGGTGGTGATGGCTGCGTTGCTGTTTGCGGCAGCGGCAGTGGAGCAAGGCTCAGTTGTGGTGGTGCAAGCGCAGGCGCTGCCACCGTGCGGGTTGCTGGGCATTGGGGACGCGGACGGCTGCAGCTTGTTTTGCCGAGGGTATGCGGCACCGCAGCACCTGTTTGGGGACAACGTCTGCCAGTGTGGGAAGGACGACGTGTATGTGAGCGTGTGTACAACCCGCACGGACCTTCAGGAGCACGAGGGCGTGCGCGACTTCTTCGACGGCAGCATCGTGGATATCCCCACCTGCGCGGCAGCCGGCATCACAGACGAGGCACAGTGCGCGCGCGTGTGCAGCACAACCACGTGGAACACCCGCAGCATCTACAGGATTGAGCAGAGTGTGTGGTCCTGCATCTGCGACGCCCGCAACTCGTCCATTGCCGTCTGCGGCGACGGCAGCCTCACGACGGGGTCTGTGCTTGGCGGAGACGACGACGACGGTGCCTTCTTTCAGGTCATTCCAAGCACAGACGTGCTGCGGCAACAACTTATCGAAGGCACCACGCCTCAATGCAGGCAGGCCACGGAGAACATTGTCAACACGGAACTCATCCAGTGCTTTGAAGAGATCTTCCAAGAGTCGACAGTCGCCATCACCTCCGCTTCCTCCCTCACCGCTGACGACGTACTGTGTGTATGTTTGCGTGTGTGTATTTGTGTGTGTTTGCGTGTGTGTGTGTGCGTGTGTGTGTGTGTTTGATAAACACCGCGTTCTCTTCTGCAATGCGTTCACTCACTTTGCCATCCTTCTTGCCCCCTTTGTGGCAAATGTGTCGTTCATGGTACAGTTGGATCAGACGTGCCAAAACCCGTGCTTGGCAACACTCTTGCGGTCCGCAGCAGCCTTGAACGACACAGGTGCTACTTTCCGCGTTTTGACAGTTGCCGTTTTTGAGTGGCTGCTGTGGATGCTCACGCCGCGCATCCATATGTCGTGTCACACACACACACACACACACACACACACACACACACACGCACTCACACACTCACTCACACACGCACGCATGCACGCGCGCACGCACACTCACTCACTCACTCACTCACCCTCTCACTCACGCACACATGCACACGCACTCACTCACTCACTCACACGCATGCACGCGCGCACGCACACTCACACCCTCTCTCTCTCACGCACACACACACACACACAACCTTACACTGCCCAGCGTGCCTCGAGAGCACGGACCCGTTCACAACGTCGCTGCGACAGCTGCTGCACGACCTCCCATCGCTGACGTTCCTGTGCCAGATGGACAGCGGTCGATACTGCCACCTGCTCAACCCAGCGCTGCAGCGCCTCGCCAATACAGACGGGAGCACCGACGACTGCAATCAGATTCTCGACCACGGCGCTTGCTTCGGCACCATCCTCCAGGGAACAGAGGTCAGTTTGCAGAGTGGCAGCAGCTTATCTTCATTCACGTGTTCACTCGCTTGTTCGTGTTGTTTGTTCTGTTTGTTGGTGTGGGCGTGCTCGCTCCAGTGTTCTCAAGTTGTACTACTATTGGCTTCTTTGGTGCCGTGTGTTTCGAATCTCACAACGACTCATTATCGATGTATTGCACCCTGTCCATTCCTGCACCACCGCACATATCTGTGCTGCTGTTTTTTCGCCCATGCCAGGCCGGGTACTTCTTTGGCGCGGCCGCAACCCCGGAGGAAGTGTCGCTTGTCCGCACACACATCATCGATTACTGCCACGCCCTCGGCGTCAACGTGACTGCTGCAGCCTCCGCTACCGTTGCACCCGTCAACCTCCTCGCTACATCATCAGGTGCGTTGAGATGACGAAGGAGTGCGTTTTAGTTTCGCGAAGCACTGCAGCATTGCGCTGCAGAGGCGGCAGTGCTGGCTTGTGCTGCATTTGTCACACACAAACACATACACGTCTCTTTACATTCATTTGTTGTCGTTCGTGTTCATGCTGGCAACTGCACGATGTGCTGCAGGTGCCAGCCAGGCTGCCGCACCATGGGTGCTCTTCCCGACCTTGCTTGCTTGTCTCTGTGTTGGGTTCGCTCTTGAGTCTTTGAGTTGAGGAGGTGCTCGGATGCATGTGCTATAGTCTTGTGTGTTTGTACATACCGTGACCACTGGGTATTCTTCTTGTGTGATGTTCGTTTCGTACTGCATGCCTGGCTGCACTGGGTACTTGTTGCTGCGGTTCACACTTTCGTTCTTGTGTCCTCCATCTTCTTCTTGTTCTTGCTTGCCTTTTGCTTTTTCTTCTTTGACTTTGCCCAAGCAACATACAGCAATGCACTCTGTGCTCATGTGCTCTGGGACGTGGAACGTGAGTGGAGGCGAAGAGGGGGAGGAGTGCTCGCTCGCATGCAAACAGAAAGCACGAGGGACGAGGACATGGAAGAATGGAAGAAGAATGCATGAAGATGCTGGCGCATAGTGAACCGGACCTGTCTCTGTTGTCTCTTTCACAAAATTTCCCACAACGACCAACACGATGGCAGAACATGTCAGCGACCATCCACTGCACCCTGCACCATACACCCTGCACCCTGCACCCTGCACCCTCGTACAGTGCACCCTACACCCTTCACCCTGCACCTTGAACCCTGCATCCCCTTCTGTGCTTACGGGTGTTTCATGCCCTTGCCACTTGTTGGTTCTTGTACTTGCCTGCAGCAGCTTCCGTCCTGGCTTGCAGAATTGCTCGACAGCCCGTTTCGCACAGCGGTGCGCTGTGAGCTCATGTCCAAGATCACAACGACGCAGCTGGAACTGAAGCTCGACGACCCCTCCGTGTCTGTGCACAAACCCCAGCACCCCGATATGCCGCTGCCAGAGACGAGCACTGAGCTGCGTGAATCTGTTGAGGAGCTTCTCCAGCGCGTGTGCTTGGATCGGCACAAGCAAGTGGTGCTGACACCATCGCAGCGCACCGTCCTCGACGACATCGTCACGCACGTTTTTGACGTCGTCAGTGGCAACAAAGGTGCCAGCAACAAGGGCGCTGGTCGCCTGGTCGTCGGACCAAAGGGCACGGGCAAGACGACGCTGCTGTTGCTGTTGGAGAAGCTCCTGAACATGCTGCTGCCGGCCTCTGTCGTCGTCTTCTACGCCTCTGCCCAAACGCACCGTGACCTGTACAAACTGCTCCACAACGCAATCAAGGAGCGCACGGGACTCTCCATGGAACTGCCTGAGGACACGTCTCCATCCGACGCCCCAGGTCACTTTGCCAGATGGCTCAAAGCGAACAAGATCAAAGTGGTGGGCCTCATCGATGAGTACCAGGCCGTCTACACCTTCGACGAGGATCGCTGGTGGATCATCGCCATGCATGTCTTCGGGCAGTGTGCCGCGCGCTACACGTTTGTGTTGACTGGCAGCTCTGCTCACCTCCGCGGCCTGTGCTTCGACAGAGCGCCCGAAACCGCCCGATTCAGCTGCTACAAGCGTGGCCTCCCCAACCTCAACTGGCAGCGCTACACCACTCTCGTGCTGTCGCCCATCCTCACCAAGCACGGATTGCGCGATGTTGTTGACCACCTCGGCATGCTGCCCATGGCAAGGTTCATACGTGTTGATGGCGATGACAACGATGACACCTCTGTTCAGGACGAGGCATGGCTCCGATTCATCTTCATGCAGACCGCCGGGCTCATGCGCAACATCACCAGCCTGATTCCTGCAATGCATCGCATGGTTGAAGACTCCCTGACACCCGTCCTCCAGGCCTGCTGCGCCATTGACGACGAGGCTCTCGTTGCAACAGCGCGTGAGGTGTGTGGCGTGGTGCGCAATGCAGAGAGCAGCCTACAGCACAAGGCATCTGCGCTTTTGCGTCTGATCGAGACTGCAGAGGACGCGGGTGCTACCGTGGAGCGGCCCGTGTACAGCAGTGATGTGCAACAGACTTTCGACGACACCTTTGTGGCTCCCCACCTCACCAAACACAGCCGCCTGCTGCATGCCATGGCAGAGTGCCTGGTGCGGCACGCTGAGGAAAGACGATGGGCTGCGCTGGCCGATGACCCGTGGGCGCTCATGACGGCACTCCCTGCTGTGGACCTCGAGGCCGAGGGCTTCGGGCCAAGTGACTTGTACCAGCTGCAGAAGACGGGGCCGTGG